GTTCATAATACACCAAAACAGCGACACGCATTTCCTCTCTTATACACAGGTTATTAACCCTTAATCCTTTCAGGGTCGCCAGGCCCTCTCCGAGACTTGTTCTCAGGGTCGCCAGGCCCTCTCCGAGACTTGTTCTCAGGGTCGCCAGGCCCTCTCCGAGACTTGTTCTCAGGGTCGCCAGGCCCTCTCCGAGATTTGTTCTCAGGGTCGCCAGGCCCTCTCCGAGATTTGTTCTCAGGGTCGCCAGGCCCTCTCCGAGATTTGTTCTCAGGGTCGCCAGGCCCTCTCCGAGACTTGTTCTCAGGTCGCCAGGCCCTCTCCGAGATTTGTTCTCAGGGTCGCCAGGCCCTCTCCGAGACTTGTTCTCAGGGTCGCCAGGCCCTCTCCGAGATTTGTTCTCAGGGTCGCCCAAATTTAAAAAAAAATTATTTTTTCTTAAGAAAAGATAGAGAATCTTTTCCTGATCATAATGACACCAAAAGTATGAAATTTGATGGAAAACTTACGGAATTATGCTCTCGCGAAGTTAGCGGTCTCAATGAAGTTTAAGCATCAGCAATTTTGCCCACTTTGAGCTCTATTTTCGGCTAATTCCAGTGTACTAGTCCACAAAAATCATAACTATTTCACTATAACTCCATTTTTTCTATTGAATGAGTACAAGAAACCACCCATTTACATATCTCAACTTTCCAATAAAGTGGTCAGAATTTAGCAATTTTGCCAATTTCACACACACACTTCAAAAGATGCCAATTTCCGAATAGGGTCCAGAATAAACAAGAAAGACATTCCTGGCACTAAAATAACAAGTTCTCTGTTCGTTAGTCACATCCCCAGGCCCCTCTTATATTTCTTTGACTTTCCACTTTGAATTTTTATTCTTACAAAAAATAGAAGATTTACTGTTATGCAAACTACTGCATTAGTGTAGAAATGGTATAAATAATATCAGCGCACTTGTGAAAGAATATTAGACTCACCAGTTGACGTGTATTGGACGCTTGGCATGATTTGTTTACTTTTGAACTTTGGTAAAAATCGAACATTTCTGCTACTTTGTGCTCAATTCCGAAGTACTTTTCATTGTGAAACCAGTCAAAATCATCTCAATTTGTGTAATATGTCTTCCATTCTATAAAATGAGACCAGGAAAACTAGAATACCATCATAAATACCATATGAAAATGCAGTGCAAAGTCGCTGTTTTAATCCAAAAACACTGTCAAAGTTATTTTTTCTCATTATGCACTGCGTGCTGCAGGATTTTTTCATAGTGCGCACACTGACCACATAGACCCATTCTTTCATATGTAGGCCTACCAGCTTTCTCTCACTAGATTTGAGGGTGCTAGAATTTAGGCATACTAGCACGTCAAAAAACCTGTGGCGTAAGCAGTACTAGTACAGCCGAAACCCTGAAAGAGTTAAACTGTTCAAACGTAGATCTGTGTTCGCACTCATAAGTTCTCCGAACATAGATCTACACTCGATTTTACATTATTTCTTATGTAAAAAAAAAAGTAGATCTACATTCGGAGCACTACGCATGCAAACGTAGATCTACGTTTGGACAGTTTAAGGATTAAATAACCATAAACAAAGAGACAACTATTACATCGACTTGACTAATAACATTACAGACCAAAACATCGCAGGTTATTAACCGTTTGAGGGTCCAAAGGTCAAATCTCAGAGTGATAGCCAGGGTCCAAGAAATTAAAAAAAAAAAAAAAAAAAAAAATTATCTTACAAAATGGTAGAAAATCTTTTTCTGAAGGGAATAAACAAAAAGTATGAAATTTAATGGAAAATTGATGAAATTATGCTTGTGAATTTTGAAGCATCAGCGATGTTTACGCATCAGTGATTTTGCCGACTTTGACTCCCATTTCAGGCCAATTACATTATATTAGTCGACCAAATTCTAAGCTATTTCACTAGTATTACTTCTATTTTATCGATTGAGGACAAGAAATCACCCAGTCAACTGTTTCAACTACCCAATAGTGTGATCGGAAAATGGTAATTTGGCCAATTTAACACAAAGTTCAAAATAGTTTAACCCTTTGACTGTTTTGGTCGCATATATACGTCTTACGAGCCACCATGTTTGACGTGTATATATACTCATAAATTCTAGCGGCTTCAAATCAAGCAGGAGAAAGCTGGTAGGACCACATGTGAGAGAATGGATGTGTGTGTGCACCATATTAAAAAAATCCTGCAGCACACAGTGCATAAAGAAAAAAAAAAACTTTGACCATTTTTTTTTAATTAACCCTTTGACTGTCGCAACCCCAAATCCTGAGGTGTCTCCTGGTGTCGCAAAATTTCAAAAAAAAAAAAAAATTATTTTTTCTTATGAAATGATAGAGAATCTTTTCCCGATTGTAAAGACACCAAAAAAAACGAAATTTGATGGAAAACTGACGGAATTACGCTCTCGCGAAGTTAGCGACTTCGGCGATATTTAAAAATCGGCAATTTCGCCCACTTTGAGCCCTATTTTCGGCTAATTCTGTTATTCCAGTCAACCAAACTCATAACTATTTCTTCAGAACTCTATTTTTTCTATCGATTGAGTACAAGAAACTGCCCATTTACCGATTTCAACTACCCAATAACATGATCAGAAATTTGCAATTTGGCCAATTTCACAAAAATTAAAAAATACAACAATTTCAAAATAAGGTCCAGAATGAACAATGCAGACATTCCTGGCTCTAAAATAACATTTTCTTTGTTCATCAGTCATGTCTCCAGTCCCCTCTGATATTACTCTTGCTTTCTATTTTGAAATTTTATTCAAACAAAAAATAGAAGATTTACTGTTATGCAGACTACTGCAATACTGTAATAATTGTAAAAATTACATCAACCCCTTCATTGACTGCATATTAGAATGGCTATTTGGACATTTATTGGACAATGACATCATTTGTTTACTTTTGAACATCGGCAAAAATCAAACATTTCCCGTACTTTGAGCTCCATTTCCAGGTTCTTTTTATAGTAAAATCAATCAAAATCACCTCCATTTCTATAATATAGTTTCCATTCTATCAAATGAGACCAAGAAAACGAGAATACAACCATAAATACTATACGAAAATAGACCACAAAGTCGGCATTTTAATTAAAAAAACGGTCGGAGTTTTTTTTTTCTCATTATGCACTGCGTGCTCCAGGATTTTTTTTATGTGGTGCACACTGACCACACAGACCCATTCTCTCACATGTGGGCCTACCAGCTTTCTCCTGCTTGATTTGAAGCCGCTAGAATTTATGAGTACAGTATATATACATCAAACACGGTACCTCGCAAACGTATATATACGGCCGCGACAGTCAAAGGGTTAAAATGCCGACTTTGTGGTCTATTTTTGTATTGTATTTATGGTTGTATTCTCGTTTTCTTGGTCTCATTGATAGAATGGAAAACATATTATAGAAGCAGAGGTGATTTTGATTGGTTTTACTATGAAAAGAACCTGGAAATGGAGCTCAAAGTAGGGGAAATGTTTGATTTTTGCCGATGTTCAAAAGTAAACAAATTATGTCATTTTCCAATAAATGTCCAAGTAGCCATTCTAATATGAAGTCCTAAATGGGTTGACATTATTTATACAATTATTACAGTATTGCAGTAGTCTGCATAACAGTAAATCTTCTATTTTTTGTTTGAATAAAAATTCAAAATAGAAAGCAAGAGTAATATCAGAGGGGCCTGGAGACATGACTGATGAACAAAGAAAATGTTATTTTAGTGCCAGAATGTCTGCATTGTTCATTCTGGACCTTATTTTGAAATTATCATATTTTTTAATTTGCGTGAAATTGGCCAAATTACAAATTTCTGACCACGTTATTGGGTAGTTGAAATTGGTAAATGGGCAGTTTCTTATACTCAATTGATAGAAAAAATGGAGTTCTAAAGAAATAGCTGTGAGTTTGGTCAACTGGAACAATGGAATTAGCCGAAAATAGGGTTCAAAGTGAGCAAAATCACCGATTCGTAAATATCGCCGAGGTCGCTAACCTCACGAGAACATAATTCTGTCAGTTTTCCATCAAGTTTTGTTCTTTTGGTGTCATTACAATCAGGAAAAGATTCTCTATCATTTCAGAAAAAAATAATTACCAGGACACACCTCAGGATTTGAAAGGGTTGCGACAGTCAAGGGGTTAAAATACTCCAATTTCAAAATAGAGTCCTGAATTAACAACGCAGACATTCCTGGCACTAAACTAACATTTACTCAGTTCATTAGTTATGTTTTCAGGCTTTACAATTGAATTCCATTTTGATTTTTTATCCACAACGAATTTTTATTCATACCAAAAAATAGAAGATTTACTCTTATGCAGTGTTGTAATAATTGTATAAATAATATCAGCACATTCGTGAACGTATATTAAACCCACCAGCTCGCGTGTATTACTCGTGATAACATTTGTTTACTCTTGAACTTCGGCAAAAATTGAACTTTTCTGCTACTTTGAGCTCAGTTTCAAGCCATTTTCAGTACTAAAACCAATCAAAATCATCTATATTTCTGTAATATATCTTCCATTCTACCAAATGAGACCAAGAAATCATGAATACAACTGTAAAAAAGATACGAAAAAACACCACAAAATCGCCGTTTTAGTCCATAATTATGGCCAGTTTTTTTTTTTCTCTATGCACTGCATGCTGCAGGATTATTTTGTGGTGCACACTTACCACAAAGATGTGTTCTCTAGTATCTAGGCTAAAATTTACTGCTCACAGGTTATCTGAATGAGCTGAGCTCAAGGCGTATATCTACGGTTTAGACCCTGGCTTCAAAGCAATAGATCTACAGAATTGACCCTCAAAGGGTTGAATAACCTGAAACAAAGATGTCCATTACATCAACTCCACTAATAACATCACAAATAGATCAAAATATTGCAGGTTATTAAATAACCTCAAAGACATCCGTTACATCAACTCCACTAATAACATCACCAACCATCCAGGAATCCTTATCCGGGTCGTAAGCGCAGACGGAGCGTAGAATCATCATCTCTGTGCAGCCTCCCTTGAGCAGAGCAATTTGGTCTTCCTGGCACAGGCTCTTAAAGGCCGATATCCTCTTCGACATCTTGATGAGCCGGCGGATGGCGATTTCTGTCAGGTTGATGATGTTGATCAACGACGGATTGCTGAGATCCTGCAAGCAAACAAGATAGATTGCAAGATTCACTGGTAGAAATTAATGTTGCAATGTTGCTACATAATGTTGTGTTGTTGCTACATTATAACCTAATCTAACCTGACCCACATTATAACCTAACCTACATTATACCCTAACCTACATTATAACCTAACCTACATTATACCCTAACCTACATTATAACCTAACCTACATTATACCCTAACCTACATTATAACCTAACCTACATTATAACCTAACCTACATTATACCCTAACCTACATTATAACCTAACCTACATTATACCCTAACCTACATTATAACCTAACCTACATTATAACCTAACCTACATTATACCCTAACCTACATTATAACCTAACCTACATTATACCCTAACCTAACCTACATTATACCCTAACCTAACCTACATTATACCCTAACCTACATTATACACTAACCTAACCTACATTATACCTTAACCTACATTATAACCTAACCTACATTATTCCCTGACCTACACTCTAACATATACATTATAACCTAACCTACATTATACCCTAACTTAACCTAACCTAACGCACACCTCATTTTCCTGGTCTATCATCTGATGCTGGTAATGTAAAATTCCACTTATCAATTCCTTACTGAAGAGTCTCACCTCACCCCACCTCACCATCACCCCAAGACCAGACTTCATTGTTGAGTGCCATGCCAACCAGGCTGTTGCTGCCAGCAATACAATACAACTTTATTTCTTTTCTGAAGTATACAAACTATAGTTTACATGCAACAGAATACTGATAGGCACAAAAGAAACTTGACAGCATGTGGTACATTTCCGGCAGACAGTAGGCTAGAAGTTTGTTAGATTATGTATTGGTGGATAAAAGGTTCATGGGTAGGCTCCAGGATGTACATGTTTATAGAGGGGCAACTGATATATCGGATCATTATCTAGTTGTAGCTACAGTTAGAGTAAGAGGTAGATGGGAAAAGAGGAAGGTGGAAACAACAAGTAAGAGGGAGGTGAAAGTGTATAAACTAAGGGAGGAGGAAGTTCGGGCGAGATATAAGCGACTATTGGCAGAAAGGTGGGCTAGTGCAAAGATGAGTAGGGGGGGGGGGGGGGTTTAAGAGGGTTGGAATAGTTTTAAAAATGCAGTATTAGAATGTGGGGCAGAAGTTTGTGGTTATAGGAGGGTGGGGGCAGGTGGAAAGAGGAGTGATTGGTGGAATGATGAAGTAAAGGGTGTGATAAAAGAGAAAAAGGTAGCTTACGAGAGGTTTTTACAAAGCAGAAGTGTTGTAAGAGGAGCAGAGTATATGGAGAGTAAAAGAAAGGTGAAGAGAGTGGTGAGAGAGTGCAAAAGGAGAGCAGATGAAAGAGTGGGAGAGGCAATGTCAAGAAATTTTCATGAAAATAAGAAAAAATTTTGGAGCGAGTTAAACAAGTTAAGAAAGCCTAGGGAAAGTATGGATTTGTTAGTTAAAAACAGAGTAGGGGAGTTAGTAGATGGGGAGAGGGAGGTATTAGGTAGATGGTGAGAATATTTTGAGGAACTTTTAAATGTCGACGAAGAAAGGGAGGAGGTAATTTCATGCACTGGCCAGGGAGGTATACCATCTTTTAGGAGTGAAGAAGAGCAGAATGTAAGTGTGGTGGAGGTACGTGAGGCATTACGTAGAATGAAAGGGGATAAAACAGCTGGAACTGATGGGATCATGACAGAAATGTTAAAAGCAGGGGGAGATATAGTGTTGGAGTGGTTGGTACTTTTGTTTAATAAATGTATGAAAGAGGGGAATGTACATAGGGATTGGCGGAGAGCATGTATAGTCCCTTTATATAAAGGGAAGGGGGACATAAGAGACTGTAAAAATTATAGAGGAATAAGTTTACTGAGTATACCAGGAAAAGTATACAGTAGGGTTATAATTGAAAGAATTAGAGGTAAGACAGAATGTAGGATTGCGGATGAGCAGGGAGGTTTCAGAGTGGGTAGGGGATGTGTAGATCAAGTGTTTACATTGAAGCATATATGTGAACAGTATTTAGATAAAGGTAGGGAAGTTTTTATTGCATTTATTGATTTAGAAAAGGCATATGATAGAGTGGATAGGGGAGCAATGTGGCAGATGTTGCAAGTATATGGAATAGGTGGTAAGTTATTAAATGCTGTAAAGAGTTTTTATGAGGATAGTGAGGCTCAGACCTATTTTTACTGGGAAGTAGTCTCCCTCTCTTCTACACACCATAACCTGAGCCTCACTTTTTTTTTTATTATCACACTGGCCACCCTGCCTTGGTGGGAACCGGCCAGTGTGATGATAAAAAAAAAAGTGAGGCTCAGGTTAGGATGTGTAGAAGAGAGGGAGAATACTTCCCAGTAAAAATAGGTCTTAGGCAGGGATGTGTAATGTCACCATGATTGTTTAATATATTTATAGATGGGGTTGTAAAAGAAGTAAATGTTAGGGTGTTTGGGAGAGGGATGGGATTAAATTATGGGGAATCAAATACAAAATGGGAATTGACACAGTTACTTTTTGCTGATGATACTGTGCTTATGGGAGATTCTAAAGAAAAATTGCAAAGGTTAGTGGACGAATTTGGGAATGTGTGTAAAGGTAGAAAGTTGAAAGTGAACACAGAAAAGAGTAAGGTGATGAGGGTATCAAATGATTTAGATAAAGAAAAATTAGATATCAAATTGGGGAAGAGGAGTATGGAAGAAGTGAATGTTTTCAGATACTTGGGAGTTAACGTGTCAGCGGATGGATTTATGAAGGATGAGGTTAATCATAGAATTGATGAAGGAAAAAAGTGAATGGTGCATTGAGGTATATGTGGAGACAAAAAATATTATCTATGGAGGCAAAGAAGCGAATGTATGAAAGTATAGTAGTACCAACACTCTTATATGGGTGTGAAGCTTGAGTTGTAAATGCTGCAGCGAGGAGGTGGTTGGAGGCAGTGGAGATGTCCTGTCTAAGGGCAATGTGTGGTGTAAATATTATGCAGAAAATTTGGAGTTTGGAAATTAGGAGGTGTGGAGTTAATAAAAGTATTAGTCAGAGGGTTGAAGAGGGTTTGTTGAGGTGGTTTGGTCATTTAGAGAGAATGGATCAAAGCAAAATGACATGGAGAGCACATAAATCTGTAGGGAAAGGAAGGCGGGGTAGGGGTCATCCTCGAAAAGGTTGGAGGGAGGGGGTAAAGGAGGTGTTGTGGGCGAGGGGTTTGGACTTCCAGCAAGCGTGCGTGAATGTGTTAGATAGGAGTGAATGGAGACGAATGGTATTTGGGACCTGACGAGCTGTTGGAGTGTGAGCAGGGTAATATTTAGTGAAGGGATTCAGGGAAACCGGTTATTTTTATATAGCCAGACTTGAGTCCTGGAAACTGGAAGTACAATGCCTGCACTCTAAAGGAGGGGTTCGGGATATTAGCAGTTTGGAGGGATATATTGTGTATTTTTATACGTATATAAATTATGGGGAATCAAATTCAAAATGGGAATTGACACAGTTACTTTTTGCTGATGATACTGTGCTTATGGGAGATTCTAAAGAAAAATTGCAAAGGTTAGTGGATGAGTTTGAGAATGTGTGTAAAGGTAGAAAGTTGAAAGTGAACATAGAAAAGAGTAAGGTGATGAGGGTATCAAATGATTTAGATAAAGAAAAAATGGATATCAAATTGGGGAGGAGGAGTATGGAAGAAGTGAATGTTTTCAGATACTTGGGAGTTGACGTGTCAGCGGATGGATTTATGAAGGATGAGGTTAATCATAGAATTGATGAGGGAAAAAAGGTGAGTGGTGCGTTGAGGTATATGTGGAGTCAAAAAAACGTTATCTATGGAGGCAAAGAAGGGAATGTATGAAAGTATAGTAGTACCAACACTCTTATATGGATGTGAAGCTTGGGTGGTAAATGCAGCAGCGAGGAGACGGTTGGAGGCAGTGGAGATGTCCTGTATAAGGGCAATGTGTGATGTAAATATTATGCAGAAAATTCGGAGTGTGGAAATTAGGAGAAGGTGTGGAGTTAATAAAAGCATTAGTCAGAGGGCAGAAGAGGGGTTGTTGAGGTGGTTTGGTCATTTAGAGAGAATGGATCAAAGTAGAATGACATGGAAAGCATATAAATCTATAGGGGAAGGAAAGAGGGGTAGGGGTCATCCTCGAAAGGGTTGGAAAGAGGGGGTAAAGGAGGTTTTGTGGGCGAGGGGCTTGGACTTCCAGCAAGCGTGCATGAGCGTGTTAGATAGGAGTGAATGGAGACGAATGATACTTGGGACCTGACGATCTGTTGGAGTGTGAGCAGGGTAATATTTAGTGAAGGGATTCAGGGAAACCGGTTATTTTCATATAGTCGGACTTGAGTCCTGGAAATGGGAAGTACAATGCTTGCACTTTAAAGGAGGGGTTTTGGGATATTGGCAGTTTGGAGGGATATGTTGTGTATCTTTATACGTATATGCTTCTAAACTGTTGTATTCTGAGCACCTCTGCAAAAACAGTGATAATGTGTGAGTGTGGTGAAAGTGTTGAATGATGATGAAAGTATTTTCTTTTTGGGGAATTTCTTTCTTTTTGGGTCACCCTGCCTCGGTGGGAGACGACCGACTTGTTGAAAAAAAAAAGTAGGCTAGCACAGCTATCACAACCTAGCATGTACAGGAGGTCCCCACTTATACAGCAAGTTAGGTTCCTGCTGTACAGGAGTTTCACATATACAGCAGGTTAGGCTCCAGGCTACTACTGTAAAGTGGATCATAGTTTTTTTCACTTTTAAATGCATGTAAAAGCCTGGTAACATGTTTACACTATCATATATTAAGTGAGCAATGTAACTAAGCCTAAAAAATGTGTATGCATTACATACATTACTTCTTTCTTCTTTCAACACACCGGCCGTATCCCACCGAGGCGGGGTGGCCCAAAAGGAAAAACGAAAGTTTCTCCTTTTACATTTAGTAATATATACAGGAGAAGGGGTTACTAGCCCCTTGCTCCCGGCATTTTAGTCGCCTCTTACAACACACATGGCTTACGGAGGAAGAATTCTGTTCCACTTCCCCATGGAGATAAGAGGAAATAAGCAAGAACAAGAACTAGAAAGAAAATAGCAGAAAACCCAGAGGGGTATGTATATATATGCTTGTACATGTATGTGTAGTGTGACCTAAGTGTAAGTAGAAGTAGCAAGACGTACCTGAAACCTTCCATGTTTATGAGACAGACAAAAGACACCAGCAATCCTACCATCATGTAAAACAATTACAGGCTTTCGATTTACACTCACTTGGCAGGACGGTAGTACCTCCCTGGGTGGTTGCTGTCTACCAACCTACTACCACTGGATGGTAGTACCTCCCTGGGTGGTTGCTGTCTACCAACCTACTACCACTGGATGGTAGTACCTCCCTGGGTGGTTGCTGTCTACCAACCTACTACCACTGGATGGTAGTACCTCCCTGGGTGGCTGCTGTCTACCAACCTACTACCACAGGACAGTAGTACCTCCCTGGGTGGTTGCTGTCTACCAACCTACTACCTACACATACATTACTTACCTTAAAATATTGTTGCTCATGCTTATAGTGAGTGGTGAATATATTTATTGAACGAAGTCTAACTAAATGAAAAAAAAATGGGTATGATTGAAACCTGCCATATTAGCAAAATGCTGTAAAGCAAAGCGCTGTAAATTGGGGCCCGTCTGCATAACATTCACCTTGAAGTTGTAGTCTTCACAGAGAGGGGCCATGAGTCCCTTGTTAGCTTCAGAGAGTTCATTTAATTTGAGTTTCTCTGGCTCGTTCAGTTCCCTGGGGTTGTTGCTGGCCAGTAAGCTGAAGGCACTGTACTCGGCACTGATGGCAGTGTTCATGATCGAGTCCATCATAGTTAACCCTGTAGCATCTCTGAAATATAATAACAGTAACAATAATAATGTTTGTTGTTTGGAGTGACATATGAACTGTTATTGCTGCACGCCACTGTCAAGACAGTGATAGTGTGAATGATGGTGCAAGTGTTTCTTTTTCATGTCACCCTGCCTTGGTGGGAGACAGCCATCATGTTAAAAAAATAACAATAATAAAAATAATAATATATTTTCAATACACTGGTCGTCTCCCACCAACATGGTGACCCAATAAAGAAGAAATGAGACTGTTTGATATTTAGTAGTTGACTATTACTATTCTGGCATCATTAGGACTGAATTAACCTATTAATAGGGCCCCATGGCCTGGCTGGCAAAGCTCTGGCTTCATACACTGAGGGTCTGGGTTCGATTCTTGGCAAGGGTGGAAACATTGGGTGTATTTCCATACATCGGTTGTCCTGTTCACCTAGCAGCAAGTAGGTACCTGGGTGTTAGTCAAGTGGAGTGGGTTGCATCCTGGGGAACAATATTGAGGACCCCAGTGGAAATAAGACAGACCATCCTTCAATGACACACTGACTTTCTTGAGTTGTCCTGGGTGGCTAACCCTCTGGGGTTAAAAATCCCAACAAAGTCTTATCATCAGAGACTGTTACATTTTCCTCACTGCTTGTTGCTGTCTATATCAACAGTCTCTCAATTGATAAGTTAATGCAGTCCCAGTAATGCTGGAATAATGATGATCGACTCGTACTTTATACGGGAAAAAGTGCTACTAGCACCTTGCTCATGGCATTTTAGTCACCTCTTGTGACAAACATGACTTACAGAAGAAGGATTCTTCTCCACAGAGTGTAATATAATCAGGTGGGGATATAGTTTTGGAATGGTTGGTGCTCGTATATAATAAATGTACGAAAGAGGAGATGGTACCCAGGGACTGGCAGGTTATATAAGATTAGGAAGGTTGGTGCTTGTATATAATAAATGTACGAAAGAGGAGACGGTACCCAGGGACTGGCAGGTTATATAAGATTAGGAAGGTTGGTGCTTGTATATAATAAATGTACGAAAGAGGAGACGGTACCCAGGGACTGGCAGGTTATATAAGATTAGGAATGTTTTTCGTGTATCTGAAACAGAAGTTCAACACGTACTTTTATCCCATCAAGAATTTTGTAAATGATGAATCTTTGATTTTGCTCAAGGGTAGACTGTCATTCAAGAAGTATATACTAAGCATGAGGAAATGGTTTGGTATCAAATTATTTGTGCTTTGTGACTGCAACAGTGGCCTGGTATTGGATATACAGTGGACCCCCGCATAACGATTACCTCCGAATGCGACCAATTATGTAAGTGTATTTATGTAAGTGCATTTGTACGTGTATGTTTGGGGGTCTGAAATGGACTAATCTACTTCACAATATTTCTTATGGGAACAAATTTGGTCAGTACTGGCACCTGAACATACTTCTGGAGTGAAAAAATATCGTTAACCGGGGGTCCACTGTAACTGTATACACGGGAAGTAAAACACTGAATGATACCAGGAAGTTATTGGTACCTCAGGTGATGTGGTAAGAACAACGATGGAACCATATCTTGGTAAGAGGCATACAAGACATACTGATAACTGGTAGTCAAGCCCCTCACTCAGTGATATTTTGCAAGTGAACATGACAGATGTGTGCAATACAGTTCATTAAGATAAGATTTTGTTTGGATTTTTAACCCCGGAGGGTTAGCCACCCAGGATAACCCAAGAAAGTCAGTGCGTCATCGAGGACTGTCTAACTTATTTCCATTGGGTCCTCAATCTTGTCCTCCAGGATGCAACCCACACCAATCGACTAACACCCAGGTACCTATTTGCTGCTAGGTGCAGGAAACAGGGGGAAAAAGCCTTTGGTGTTTCCCCGGGGGGAACAAACCGGGCCCCTATTGTGTAAGCAAAAGATTTTGAAGGCACCTAGCGGGACTGAGGGGTATTCATTTTTCTGATAAACCAAGGTTTTGGTGGCTTTAAAACAAATTCCATTTTTAACATTTTTCCCTTTAAAAAGACGTCGGGGGAACGGCCAATAACCCCTTCTAAAATTCATTTTTCTAACACAAAATTGGTTTTTGGAAACGAGGGGGATGCAAATTAGTTTCCCATTGTGTTATTAGGGGGGTTAATATACATAAAATCTTCCCCCTGGACTTTTCAAACTAAATTTTGCTACTCCCCCAAAAGCATTTTTTCAACCAAAGTCTTTTGGGTGCCTTTAAATAACTGTTTTGTTCCCTAAGAGAAATTGGGAAATTTAGTTTAGCCTTTTTCCCGGCCCCCAAAATTAACCAAAAAACCTTAAAAAAATTACACTTACATAATTTGGTCTTGGGACTATTTATCCCCTTTCCACTGTAATAAGTACAAATGAAACCCAACAACAGCCACCAATAAGGGGTTTTTTCATAGCAAACAATATTCATTTCCAGGCACAAAACCCTGTTTTAAAAAAACCCCACCTACCTGGAAAACTTAACTTTTCCAAGCACTTTTTTCCCATGCTCACCCCGAAAATTTTAGGGGTTTTTAGTTTTGATTTGGGGGGGGGTTGCATCCTAAAAAACAAAACGACTTTACTTTTACAGACTTGTGTTTAAAAGGTTTATTTACAATGACCCCAAGTTCGAAACCCCCAAACCCCCCTTTTATGAAGGGAATTTTTGTAAACTTTTAATGTATTTTTACGGAAATGGATTAAAAAATTTTATTACCTTCAAAAACAAAGTTGGTAACGGCCTTGAAAAGTTTGGAAGATAAAGTTCGAACCATACCATGTAAATTACCCATAATAATCACCTTACCCTGGGAGGTTTGAAATTTTTCCCCAATAAATGTTTCCTAAAAGAAAGTTACACCCCCACGAAATGGTGTGGACCGGGCGTAAGTTCTTTTTTTTATGGCGGGTTATTTGTGTACTTTTCCCGTCATGTATTTGGGGGGGTTTTTTTTTTTATTTAGGAAAGGGGAATTTTTAAAAATTTTGTGGAAAAAAGATTTTTTTAGGAGCCTGTTGGAAAAAAATTTTGTAGGGGATTTTTTTTAATAAAAATAAGGGAAAAAATTAACCGTTTTGAATAAAAGTTTTTTTTCCCCCAATGAAATTAACAATTTTAAAAAAAAGGTACTTGAAAAATAAGTTACTAGTTTATTTTTTTATTATTATCACACTGGCCGTTTTGGGGCAGGGTGGCCCGAAAAAGAAAAAATTTTATTTCATAAATGTTTGCCAAAAAGGGTGCTTTACCTACAGTTTTTAAACTGCAACATTAACACCCCTCCTTCAGATGCGGCACTGTACTTCCCATCTCCCAGGACTCAAGCCCGGGCCTGCCGGTTTCCGAACACCCTTCATAAATTTTACTTTGTCACACTCCAAAGAAACGTAAAAGTATTAAAAACCTTTTTGTCTCCATTCATCCTTCAAACACGCTCATCACCCCTGCGGAAGTATAAATGTATATTGTGTAAGAAGAATTAAATGACCCTTTACTTTTTTTTTAATTTAAAATCTTTCATGCAACTGTTTTGCATTTTACATATGATCACTTGAGAGATCTATCTCCTGATATCTGTTTTTCATTTATCCACACCAATAACAGTCTCTCAACATCTTTGACTACTTCGATTGTGTTTAAAAAACAACTTGCACCTTTTGAAACAACAGTTTCCTTTTGATTCCCTTTCTGTTGGAAAAGTAGTAGCGATGGTTGATTAGGGTTTGTTATAAAACCTGGCCGCTCGGGGACAGCACTCCCAGTGTCAACTTTGTGATGATCTTCTTCATTTTAATTGTAATTTTCCCTCACCCCTTTTTACCCACGGGGTTTGGGCACTAGAAGCTTTTTTGGGGGCCCTGGTGGCTTATTTTGCAGTTCTAGACTAAAAACATGGAATACACAAAATGTACCGAATGTAGGGCGTGGTTGGGGCCCCGCATGGTTTGTAAACCTGGCACACTAACTGAGGAAAATCCCCTAGGTGTGCTCAGGCCAGAGGGGAAACATGGGGACGCGTTTGGGACAAATCTGTTGGGGGATTTTTTTCATCGTTGGTCGGGCCAAAATTTTTACGTCAAACGTTTATTAGTCGAATTTATCGTTAGACGATCCCTTCTTAGTCGGGGGTCCACTGTATGCCCAGTATAAAAAACAAACAGCCACAAAAACAAAAACATCGTTTATGTGTGGGGAAATGTAAGCACCACGTACATGACCCCATGTATAAAAAGACTTCCAACTGCAGCAGTTGTGGGAACATGTCCATTGACTGTAGCATTTCGTAAGTGGAACCTGGGTTTTCTTCCCTGTTTTTATGAAAAACATAGTTCTCTCTAAAAATGTATTTTTTTTTAAATTTTTCCCCCATAAGAAAAAATGTAAACCCAATTAATCCATTCCAACACCCAAAAATATTAAAAAAAAAACTTTTTATAGAGATTAACTTTAGTTTTTACATAGAGACTAGGGCATACGAAAAAAAAGGTTCCCGTATATAATAAAATTTTTGTAATATAAAATTTTTACCTTTTTGTGTAAAAAGTTTTGCAAAAAATATAATGATAAAATAGAAGGGGGGTTGTTAATGTTGCATTTTTAAAAACTGTAGGTAAAGCACCCTTCGGGCAAGAAGTGATGGAGTGAATGATGGTGAAAGTTTTTTTTTTCGGGCACCCTGCCTTGGTGGAATCGGCCGTGTGAATAAAAAAAAAATATTGCGTGTTTTTGTGTGAATACAATCAGCAAACATCTTTTTTTCTTTTTTTCAACAAATCGGCCGTATCCCACCAAGGCAGGGGGTTTGGGCCCAAAAAAAAAAACAAAAGTTTCTCTTTTTAAATTTAGTAATGTTAAAGGAGAAAGGGGGTTTTACCCTTACTCCGGGATTTTTTTCGCCTCTTACAAAATGCATGGCTTACGGGGGAAGAATTTTTGTTCCCCTTCCCATGTAGATAAGAGGAAATAAACAAAAACAAAAACTAG